ATAAAATTTCAAATTAAGTTATGAGATCATTTAGATTGACATGCAAAATGTGAAATAGAATAGAACGTTTATACTTTTAAACGTGAATACTACTATATGAGGATATGTACATGCCATTCTGGAACAGGAAACCCTACGGTGCAATGAGAACTGGTTCCATATCTGGTGAGGGTCGGGGAGAAGGGACGCCTGGGAAAGGGCATTCGGAGTTTCTGGCATGGAGGCAATGCGTCGATGGGGTATATGAGGAACTGGCTTACAAACAGTTCATGGGGAAAATGCCATTATCTTCAAATAATTTTTTACTGTGAAACAGGTGGGGTTCATATTTCAGATCACCAACTTTTTACCACCTTAATGGTGTATCCTGCCTCCCCAAATCCCATTAAATGTGTATATTTGCCAAAACTCATCGAACTGGATATGCTAGAACTTACTGTTTTGCCATATGTAAATTATGTCTGAATTTCACAAAGGAGAGAAAATGAATAAGGCACTGCAGTCTTTTGATTATATTAGGTTTATACATAATAACAGTATTTATCTTAAAAATATGCATATGTGACTTCCTGGTCTCTTCTGCCATTGAGTCAATTCTGACTCATAGCATCGTCATGATAACTGGCCCTGTGGGTTCCCAGACGGTAAAGCTTTACAGGAGCAGAAAGCCTCATCTTTCTCCTGCAGAGTGGCTGGTGGTTTCGAATTGCTGACCTTGCAGATAGCAGCCCATTGCACACCTTACTGTGCCACCAGGACTCAGTTCTACTAAACTGGGGGTAGGGAATAAAGTATGTCACACTTTGAACAGACTTACTCAAGAAGTCACTGTAGAAAATACACTCATCAGGGCAAAATACACCGAGGCATCAGAAAAACATTGCTGCCTTTTAAACATCTAATCACTTTGTTAAAAAGCCTAAACCACTGATAGGATAACTGAAACAATATGTTACTTTCTGGAAAATAATTTGTCCTTAATTAGTTCTTAATTAAATTTTTTGGGCAATTTATGAACTTGTCTCTCCTCCTCTCCTTCCTCTTTAGTTTATAGCTGAAGAGCTCACTCAGCCATTTCCAATCTCTAACCTGTCCTGTGAGGGAACTCTTCAGCTACACACGTCACAAAGTTCTGTGGCTACAAGTCGCAGCTATTATATAATAACTGTGATCTAGCTCTGCTTGAGATCAGAAGGAAACTGAGAAGACATCAAGATATATCTGTCTCCAAAAATGGAGGACTGCCCAGTTAAAGATGTGGCCCAGAGGCAAACAAAACAAAACAAAACA